ATATTGTTTTATGACAGTGGTTAACAACCCCACAACATGTCAACCCTCTAACTTCTCAACCTTTTTTTTTGGTGAAAATACACATAGCCAAAGATCCACCATTTCAAAAATTTCTACATGCACATGAACTGTATATTTTTTTAAACATTTCTTTATTATAAAATATTTTGAAAGTATAGAAAAATTGAAAGACTAGCAAAGGAGCATTGGAAACATTATGCTAAGTGAAACAAGTCAGAAATAAAAGGACAAATATTGTGTGACCTCACTTATATGAAGTATCTAGAACAGGCAAATATATAGAGACAAAAGTTTATTAGTGGTTACCAGCGGTTGGGGGAAGGAGAGAATGGGAAGTTAACTGCTTAAAGGGTACTGAGTTTCTGTTTGGGCTGAAGAAAAACTTTGGAAATGGATAGTGATGATAGTTGTACAACACGGTGAATGTAATTAATGTCACTCAATTGTATACTGAAAAATGGTTAAAATGGCAATTTTTTAATGTATGTACTATACCACAGAAACCAAAACCAAAAGGAGTGAGTAAACCATAGCCCCTGGGCCAAATCCAGGTTCACCTGTCTTTATAAATAAAGTTTTGTTGGAACACAACCACATGCATTTGTTTAAGTTCTGTCTTTGGTTGCTTTTGCACTGTAACAATAGAGCTGAACAGTTGCAACAAAGACAGTGTAGCCTGCAAAGCCTAAAATATTTACTCTTTGTCTTTACAGAATAAGTTGCAGACTCCTGGACTAACATAATAAATGCTCATATATCTTCTTACCTAGATTTCAACAACTGTTAATATTTTGCCATTTTAGTTCTATCTAGTTTTCTTTTTTCCGTTTTTGCTGAGCCACTTGAAAGTAAGCTTCAGGCAGTAGTATGCTGCTAAATCAGCTCTCTGGGGGAAAAAGGCCCTACTGGTAGCATTTGCAATTTCTGTGGTGTAAATACTCCCACCATGGCCTACTTCAAGCTACCAATGGTTGTAGGGTCACAATTTACCAGAATACTTCACAGTAGGCTCTGGGCTGGTAGGACCTGGCACAGTACTGGCTGCAGGTTGCTTCACCCTTGTTTGGGCATACATCTCCTAAGACAAGAACATGCTCCTACGTAACCACAACACTACTATTACAGCTGGGAAAGTTAATAATACTTCTCTAATATTCTTCCAATATCTAGTCTATGTGTAAGTTTCCCTAACTGGTTCCCTAATGTCTTTTTTAGCTATTTTTTTCAAATCATGTTCAACCCTAGCTCGCACATTGCATTTGTTTGTTATGACACTTTAATCTTTCTTTCAAGAGCTTTTTGTTCTTTTGAAAAGGCTAGGCTAGCTGTGCTGTAGAATATTCTACTTTTTGCATTTCTCTGATTATTTTGTTTAACTTGTTCCTCTATAAACTTTATTTAGCCTGGCTCAGCTGAATATCTAACGGTGGTTTACAATGTATTTAGTCCCTGGGTGGTACAAATGGTCAAGTGCTCAGCTGCTAACTGAAGGGTTGGAGGTTCAAGTCCACCCAGAAATATTCAATATTCTTTGCCAATACTATAATTCAAAGGCATCAATTCTTCATACGTCTTCCTTATTTATTGTCCAGCTTTTGTATGTATATGAGGCAACTGAAAATACCATGGCTTGGGTCAGGTACAACTTAGTCCTCAAAGTGACATCTTTGCTTCTTAACTCTTTAAAGAGGTCTTTTGCAGCACATTTGCCCACTGCAATGCATCCTTTGATTTCCTGACTGCTGCTTCCATGGGCGTTGATTGCGGATCCAAG